GCAGGCGGCTTGTGAGTTAGCCTAATTGCTACAATTAGTAAAATTAAATGGCTCATTATGTTGTTATACACTTCCACCCACACTCTGCAGTTTTCCTTTAGGATGAGTAATGAACCTGTCAAGGCTGTCGATCACATCCACATGCCAGGAATCTTTCCATGAGCCCATTTTTAGGACAGCAACTGGACAAGGTGTATAGAGGCAGAGAGCGATATGCAGTCGCCCAGTGCTGATGTCAATGTGTGCAGACCACAGCTTGGACTGGCCAGAGATGCAGAGACAAGATTTGGAATACAAAGACCCATGTTCAGCCCCTTTGAAAAGCTTGAGCACCAAGTGGGAGGAATGTTACAAGTTACAAACCTGGCAAAGCAATGATTTTGATTGCTTTCAAAAATGACATTGCAATGGTGAAACAAAGCAATCTGATTTCTCTGAAATTCCAGGAAGGCCACTTCATTTCTGCAGCAGTGTCACCATGCATGTCAACCACCCTCTAAGCTAGATTCTCAAAGAGAGGCTGAGCTATTTTTAAATGGCTTTAAGAAACTCTCCTTAGAAACATAAAAACACAGTTGTCTCATACAAGTTTTCTTTTTAAATAAAACGGTAATGGTTTGTGGCAAAAGTGTGTTGAGAGTGCTGGGGAGCATATATTTAGTCTAGAAAATGATTCATTAAAAAAAGTCACTGGGTTCTTGTCTAAACATTTTGTCAGAGCTTGTTTCTACTTACTGGCATTTGAAAATTTAAAAGCAAATCTGAAACCTTATACAAGCTAGGCAAGGACATGAGAGGGTTACTTTACTCAACTTTATCTGTTCAGGGAAAAAAATTGAAATGTCAAAGCAATCATATTCATCTCCTTAAATGGTGAGAGCCTCAGGTAATAAGAAGGTTCACGCAAGCTCAGAAGTGCTGAATTCTGTCCAGGGTTTTTTTTTTTTTTTAAACTGAAGTCAGCACATGTCCTAAGGTCTGAGGCTGTGCCCTGTAAGCACAGACTGAGATTGCAAAAGGTGTTGGAAAAAAGCTCATGTGTCAAAAACACACCACTGCATATGAATTAAAGGACAGTAAATTCTCCACTCTCCTCTGTTACTTTAGTCAAGAAATCATATCCTTTGTGATGTATTTTTTAAATTAGTTTTTACATTTAACTGTTCACTTACAATTGATTCAGCTGTTCTTAGAGGAAAAATAAGTCAGGGATTTAGAAATTTGCCATAAATACTTCATAGTAGTTTTATTGCCAGATTGTATTTATCTTTAGCTAATCCTAATTTTTTTCCATCATTAATGGAATATATTTTATTGATGGGACTCATAGCAGTCATTGTGAATAGGTGTCTATAAAGTCATCAGTAATTGCATGTCTCTAAAATCAGGGTTACTGAAACAAACAACCCGGACAACCCATGCATGTGGAGGAGCATGTTAAAGGACCAGGAGGACAGTCAGCCTAGGGGCACAAACTTGATTTATATGGGAACTTCTTTTTCCTTTCAAACACATACAGTATCAGTTTTTATTGCTAGACATCTATATTTTAAGATAAGTGTATATTTTAAGATAGATATCTGTACTTTAAAGCAAAAATCTATATTTTAAGCTATATATATAAGATATATATTCATGTTAAGATTTATATATCTATCTTTACAGAAATATATACATATAAATGTCTTTGAAAAGCTCACAGAAAATGAAATGATTTCAAAATTTTCTGCCAAATAAACCAAAAACCCTTAAAATTTTCTGTTTTTCCAGAAAATTGAAGTGTCTTTTGTACATTTTTGTATATATATAGATAGATTTTTTAATATATAGTCTCATTTCAAAATGCTTTTTTGAAAGCAAAAGTGGTAGTCATTTTGTTTTAGTAGACTTTCAGAGTCTATGCAACAAGTGGTACAAAGAGCAGATTTGCCTCTAAAGGACATTAACATGGAGTCAAGCCATGAAGGTCTGGAAGCTAGAGCTCACAGTTTTAAGTTCTTTGGTTCTGATCTGTATGTTAACCACAGCTCATTCGTTTGGATTTGTCAGTTCCTCCTGGAGGAGGATTTATCATAAAATTGAAAATTAAATTTTAGAAAACATTAGGACAGAAATACACAATTCAAACTTACTTCTTTTGCATGTTGACAAAATTGCTTTAATTATAGACAAAATCTGTCACTGTGCATCTAGAAAGTAGCATAAATGTATTTAACATAAATCTGATTGTGCAATGCTTTTTGAATCATGACACATGATACAATTACAATGGCCGTTAGAAGTAAGTTTTGTGTTCGTATCATCCTTTGAAAGGTTGTCATTTATATCATGGTGGATATGTCACATCTTTAGCAACAATTTATGATTAAAACATTATGATGTTCAAGTTTGTTATATGACAGAGTGTTTACAGTTTTGGAGAAACTTCAAGCTCCTGACCACCAGCATCACCCTTAAGACAAAGCATGGTGCATTGCTTTTTATTTACATAGTAGTCATTTCATTCTTAATGTGTTGCATGAGGGATCAAGTTGAGAAAGAACTTGACACTTACGCGATTGAAGAGTGATGGGGCCTGTTGGATTGGTGTTGATCGACACTATTGTACTGTTATTTACTCATGGAATCAGAGATATAGTCCAACTGAGAGATTCAAATTTCAAAGATCATCAGTTAAAAGCTGTCTTGGAAGTAATGAAACTAACAACTCACGGTTCTGGCCAAAACTGAAGAATTTGCCCAAATCATCTTTTCTTGTCCTTCTATAGTGGGGATACAGTGTTCTCACCAGCTGATGACAAGAAGAGTGTCCTCTGGGGCCTTTCCTGGTGATGAGGAAATCCTTCTGTTTCCCACCAAAGGATTATTTTCTAGTGGAAATCTTGCTTGGAGGATCAAATCATGGAGTAATAGGAAGGATGACTATTAATAAAAATTATCTTTTACGTTTTTGAGGCTTTGTACTGAAAGAAATCCTAGGTTGAACCTTTGTTACTTGTTGTAGATGTCATCATAAGGACAGTGATCTCTGGATGACAACACCAACAGAGGCGGTGGCTGGGGAACATGACTATTTTAAGTAAATCCAACAGTCCAAATAACTGAATAACTAAGTTAAACTTTTTATTTCTGTTTAGTACCTTGACTGGCATTTAATATATCACTTGGGTTAATATAAAACCAGGGAAGGAAGTTTAAGACATCTTCCACTGTGGTCAGGTGTGTTGTAATGGATGGATGAAAGCAATCATTTACATCTTTGACCACCTGGGAAACATTGGCCAGTCATTAAAAGCCCTTTCTAGCTCAGCTGGTTTTCTCTTCACCTGACACACTGATAGCACCCCTGGCCAGGTTCCTGGGGCACCGACTTGAAAAAACAGAGTGATTTTGCAAGAGACAGGTGTTTACAATCTGCTGAGGCAGGCCGATGGAATTTGTGGACCAGTTCCTGACATCCCAAGTAATTATGATGTTGAATGTATTTTAAATAATTCCAGGTCTATAAAAAAAGTGATGATGTCTATGTGTATACCCTATATTTTTATTACAAAAATATTGAAATAATCCATGAGTTATTCCACTCTGCACCAACTATAAAAAAATACTATCAAAGTTTGACTGGCACTTTTAATGCAACAAAAAGCACCATGACCGAGGACACTGAGAACTGAAAGCAGGAACGGTTACTTGCTGTGCGGAGGTATTTAAAACCCAGAAGCTTGTTGCAAGAGTGCGACTTTACAGATGATTCAAATACAAATATTAGCTGGATATAGTGATAAGCCCTCAATCAGTTTGGAAGGGTTTTCTGATAGCATATTTACTGCACCTGTTTATACTTGCTAAAACAGTGTCCCAAAGCCTCTAAAGATGCATCACTTGGACCTCAGATGGGATGGGGGAAGTCTATACACGGTGGAGAACATGACTGTTCATTCTGTTGTCCACTTTTGGGGGCTCAAGCCTTTCATTCTCAGTTGCTAAGGGATTCCCTGTTAGTCCTGTGTTTGGACAGTGTTTGGCACTAGGAAGTTGTGGCATGGCATCGTTTTGTATTGTACTTGCCTCTGCTCACAGAGCCTCTTGGTCTGCATCTGGGCCCAGTAGCACTTCAATGTGAGCTGCACTGGCTTAGGAACCAGACTCTCATTTTGCCTTTCCCCCAACTTCCTCTTCATATATTTATTGACTTTTTGCAGTTGAATACTGATTAGGATGACATCATGAAGTCATTGAGCTCTTGTCAAAAGCCAGACATGTGCTGCATAGTTCTTTCAAAAAGAATGTTCTTAACCAGAAATTAAAATACCACCACCAAATCCAGAAATATGTAGGACATGAACCATTCTGTCAATGCCAGTACTCTGTAAACACACTTGAGTGTGCTTTCCATTGGTTAGTTGTCTCACACAGGGTATTTGTTTCCAGATGAGAAAGTGGTTCATGAATTCTTTACTTACTAAGTGCTGTGACTTTTTTTTTTTTCTGAAGTCTTGAGGGATATATTCTCCCTTCCTTGTGGATTATGTGTTCCTGCAGGAATCAGAGCATCAAGAAAAACCACCTAACCCATTTTGACAGAGAACTGGTGTTATGTATATGTGTGTCAATGTGTGTAGATGTGTGAGTATGACTGAATATATTTTTATGCAATGAGCAGTTAACTCCAGCAAAACACCCTATTGATTGGAGGCAGAATTTTCCACAATAATGTTGCATCTGGTGGATGTGCTCCAAGACTGTGCAGGGAGGGTTGTGGTAACCACAGTCGCACTCAGCTGGCCTTATCCTTCCGGTGAAATAAGAAACTCCGTGCTGCTGGTTGAAAGGAGACCAGCAGCAGGCGGTCAACTGAGAGGGGATCACATGCTGATCATGATGATGGTTAGACTAAGAGCATCCTAGCTCACTGCTCTTCCAGGATGAAGTGTCCTTATTGCCACAGCCCTGCTGTCACCCTTCAACTCGACAGTGTGGCTCCTGCAAGTCCTTTTGATCTACAAAGTGGTTTCATATTCCAACCGCTCCTGGATGAGGGCATCATCTTTGTACTGCAGCCTTGGAGGAGACGGGGAACAGTCAAAGGCTAAAATGGCCTTGCGGAGGCTTCGGTCCAAAACATGTCTCTCCCACGCTGGGTACCTATTTCTGAACAGGTCAATTTTAATGACCGATTCTTCAATCCGTGGTGGGCGAGAAGACGGGGTGGATGGGGCAGTGGGGCGCACCTGAAAGACAGGGACACACCCGTCCCGCTCTGCAAATTTCTGGTCACGTTCGCTGACCATGCTGCGGTTGTTAGAGATGGAGCGTAGGGTGCTCGTGGCCACTTCCGGCGGCAGGGTGAAGGCAGCGACGGGATCCTCACAAGCACAACTTGGTGACTGCCCGAATCTGGGTCCATTGGGGTGAAAGAAGGCATAATACATCAGCATAAAAACCACACCAGTTAAAAAACTGCTGAATACCACGCAGAGCGCTGGGATGGCGAACGCATCTGCAATCTGTGGCGCCTTGTACAGGTACCAGAGGGCGCTCAAGGCTGTGTTTTCCAACAGGATCACAAAATAGTAAATGAAGAGCCGACAGCGTGTCCTGCCTTCCTTGACATTGAACCAGCTGAAGATGTAGATGATTCCCACCACCATGTCGAACACAATCTCCTCCCATTTGGTGATACAGAATTCCGTCTCACAGTGGACGATCCAGAAGGTCATGATGCACCAGTGAAGGACGATGAAGATTCCAAAGTAGAGCTGGAATACCGAGGCAAAGAGGGCGAATGTGATGACCCTGGCAGCGATTGTAAAGAAGTGCCAGCAGAACTGGATGATGACAGCCATGTAGCTGATGGGCTTCTTGTCATCACGAGAGTCCCGGAGGGCCTTCTGGTAAGAAGCCAGGGCCCACGCCAAGGACACGAGGGAGGCGGCTGCTGTGAAACCTACAAAGGCAAATGGGAAGACATTCTGTCAACAGTGACATGCTGTGACACCCCGTTTAAGTCACACACAGCATTGGGGTTAGGACGGCTATCTGCGACTTCAGCAGAAGCGAATACTTTTTGACTTTTCATGTGACTGAAATACTCTGTTGGGGATGCACATACCAGTTCTAAGATTCAGCACTACAGAAAAGTCAGGAAGCAAATGAGACTAGTCCTCAGCATTGGCAAAGGAGGGATTACACTTGGTGGTTTTTTGATGTAAACACACCAAGAAATCAGTTTTGTGCACTAGGAAAACAACAGAAGACTGTCCTCTACTGCTGTCGCAGGCCACAAGCAGGAAGCTGGATGGGACGTGGAGCAGCCAGGACACAAACTGTCACCCAAATGGGATCCTGGCTCATGAAAGGTGAGGACTTTAGCTACCTGGCTACTGCACAGGGCCCTTGAGAATTGTATTGACATGGTTTTTCTGTCACTTCTCTTTATCATTTCATCACCTCCATTTGGTCAACATTCTCTCTAAGAACAGACTTCCAAATTTTAAAACTCATTTGCATTGCTCTTCTTTACTCTTGCTCTGTCTGCCACAGCACCACATTCACGCCTGAAGTCCAGATGGGGATAAGAACTCTAAAAGCACATCAACTTCCTTTAGCACAGACCTTTGAAAGATTTCCAGGTAGTGAAATGTTATATCAATCTACATTGCAGCTGCTTCATTTCATGAGCTGTTGCACAACTTATCAAGAAGGCTAAGCACCATCTCATGTCAGAGTCCAGCTGGCTTTTCTTCAGGAGAGAGCTTATAAATCATATATAGAACATATTATAAAATTTTCTCCTCTTTGCAAATAATATTAGGTAACTTGAATACAACAACTGCTAATGGAATTAGTAGATTTCTGGTTTTTTTTTTTTTTTTTTTTTTTAGTTGAAAAGTCAGATCTATGGAGAGAAGGAGAGTCAGAGAGAAAGATTTTCCATCTGCTGGTTCACTCCCCAAGTGCTGCAAATGGCCAGAGCTGAGCCAATCTGAAACCAGGAAGCAGGAGCTTCTTCTGGGTCTCCCATTGGGGTGTAGAGTCCAAAGGCATTGGGCCATCCTGTACTGCTTTCCCAGGTCACAAGCAAGGAGCTGGAGTGGAAGTAGAACAGGTGGGACAGGAGCCAGCACCCCTATGGGATTCTGGCAGTAGAAAGGCATATTTAGCTACTACACTGTTGTGGTAGGCCCAGAATTAGTAGATTTTTAAAATATAGTTTTAAACAGATAAATTGTTATCTACAAGTCTTGAAACATGAATTTTAAGGTGAAAGATTTATACGATCTGAAAAGAAACCAGAGTATAAAACATGAATTTTAAAAGTGACTCTTGTGGAAAATGGCCTCACTAATTGGTAGCCAAAAAAAATTCCATCCCAATAATTATTTCTTACATATCCACCTTGAATAAGGTGACTTCCAAAAAAGTTATCAAGATAGTATTTTCCACAACCATTTCTCATGCCATCGTCTAGGAAACAGTTACAATAGTCAGACATGCTGTTTTGAGAACTTGAGATGTTCTTTTGGAAAACACAAAATCTTTCATTTCTAGAAGACACAGGTAGCCTTACTGGTTTGAATGGACATCAGAAAGTGCATTAAAAAAATGAATTTAAAACATAAATTTATTTTAGTGTAAGAAGTTTGAAATCCTTCTTTAGTTTTTTTCAGAATACTCATTTCCCATGAGCTTTATAAAGATGTATTGTGGGGCCAGCATTGTGGTGTAGCAGGATAATCTTCACCACGCTGGTGCTGGCATCCCATCTGGATACTGGTTCATGTCCTGGCTGTTCCTCCACCAGTCTAGCTCTTTGTGGCCTGAAGAAGTAGTGGAGGCCTTGGGGCTCCCATACCCATGTGGGAAACCAGGAAGAAGCTCCTAGCTTCTGGTTTCAGATCAGCTCAGTTCTGGCCTTGCGGCTGTTGGGCGGTGAACCAGAGATACCAGACCTCACTCTGCTTTTCCTTCTCTCTCTCTCAAAAAAAAGTATGCCTTTGAAATAAAAACAAGTAAATCATTTTTTTTAACAAGTAAAGATGCATTATATGCATGGATTTCAAAAATCATGGCATCAAAATGAACTTTTAAAAATTGTTTTATTGGGCCCAACGCGGTGGCGCAAGTGGTTAAGGTCCTCACCTTGCACGCCTGGGATCCCATATGGGTGCCGGTTCTAATCCCGGCAGACCCGCTTCCCTTCCAGCTCCCTGCCTGTGGGCCGGGAGAGCAGTCGAGGACGGCCCAAAGCTTTGGGACCCTGCACCCGCGTGGGAGACCCAGAAGAGGCTCCTGGCTTCGGATCGGCATAGCATTGGTCGTTGCGCTCACTTGGGGAGTGAATCATCGGACGGAAGATCTTCCTCTCTGTCTCTCCTCTCTGTATATCCGCCTTTCCAATAAAAAAATAATAAAAATAAATCTTTAAAAATTGTTTTATTTATTTTTAGCTTTGATTAATTTTTAACAGGTCCTATATGGTTTATAGACACAGTTCTTTTTCTTTAAGATTTATTTATTTTGATTGAAAAGAGGAGGGGAGACAGAGAGGAAGATCTTCTGTCTGCTGATACACTCCCCGAATGGCTCCAATAGCCAGAGATGATACAATCCGAAGCCAGGAGCCTCTGGGTCTCCCATGCAGGTGCAGGGTCCCAAGCTTTGGGTCGTCCTTGACTGCTTTCCCACGCCACAAGCAGGGAGCTGGATGAGAAGCAGGGACACCAGGACATGAGTCAGCGGCCATATGTGATCCTGGTGTGTTCAAGGCAAGGATTCTAGCTGCAAAGCTACTTTTCTGGGCATTATAGCTACAGTTCTAAGAATACAGTGATATTTCCTTTCTGTCTCTGTCCCCTACCCCCTTTCTCACTTCCACTCTCCTTTCCACTTACTTTCTTTTTATAGTTTTTGAGATAACAGATTTTAAATTTCCATTACAGTAGAAAGGGTTAATACTTCACCCAATAAGAAATTTAACAAGTAAAAAGCAATTTCTCCATATTTAGTGGAACAATATCTGATGGTTTCAAATAATAATTGAATGAAAACCACCCATTTCACCCATATACAGTAAATTTTAAAATAATCACACATCATCCTTAAAGTATAATATAGTATACTATTCTCATCCATTAGTTTGACAAAAGCATAAAACAACAAAATTATATTTATCACAATATTGATACACACAGACACAGGTGTTATTTCTCTTTTCCTTTCATACTTTACTTTTTTTTTTTAATTAGCTCCCACCTGTAAGAGTGAAAATGCAATATTTGTGACCAGCTTATTTGTTTTTTCCACTCAACATGATGGCCTCCAATTGCATCCACAAAATGAACATCTTTTAAGTTCATTTTTTCACAAATATTTTGATGTAGTCTTGTATTTCTAGATCAGTTAGAGCCCAGAAACAAAGGAGTTTAATGTTAATTTAATTTGTATGAAATGGAATATTCTATCGCAATTATAAAGCAAGTTCAGGAGTGAAAAGATGGAAAGAAAAGTAGTTATAAAATGAAAAAAGAAAGGTGAGGATGGGAAACAAAACAAGATAATGGATTATCATCTTTTTGATGATTATGTGAGCACCGTATTTATTATCAGTGTACAAACACAGGTTGAGCCTTTTAAAGTGAGTGCCTTTGAACAGCATACAAGCCACAGATATCTTGCTCCTACAAGTACTGTTCACAAATAGACAGCTTTTTGAGTCACCAGGTTTTTCTAGGCTGAACTGGGTACTTAGCTCTGATGCTAAGTTGCTACTCTACCTCAGCTGGCCTCCTTTAGGAAGCGCTGGAGCACAGTGTCAGCTTCACAAAGGTCACCGTGTTGCTGCTCAGGCTCCTGCAAACCACACAGAGCTGACTCCATCCTGGCAGTCATACTGGAGGGGGCGTTTTTCAAAGCAGTGAAAAAATAGTCACAATCTTTAGTTACATGGGATTATCTGTGGTGATACTAAAAAGAATGGAAGAGCTAGATTCATTCAAATTCCCTGGTTACCTTCAGCCCTTTTTCACATGTCCTGCAAAAGCAACTCAGCCTATGTCTGGCACTCCAGGAGCACTACACAAAATGTTCACTACCATAATATTTTGACAATTGACAAGTTAAGATTTTAACTCAGCTTTACTTTCTATATAGGCTAAAATTAAGACATAATCTATACCAAAGGGACATTGCCTGTCCATTGTGGCCACTCTACTACCGAGTTCTTGGATTTAGCATCCAAATTTCTCTTCTTCATTTCATGATTTCATTTTTTTCATCTTAGCAATACATTTCTACTAAACAAACACATGGTTGAACAGAGAATATTAAATATTTTAGGAGTTAACTCCCTCAGCACTCTTTGTTAAAAAGTTATGCTTACCATGGAACATTCAATATTCCTCTCAATTGATTGCAACACCAAGATAAATTACCTCAGCAAGGCACCATCTTGTTATTGGAGCATAGTTCCCCAGAATTTTCATTTATGCAAGACTTATTAGGTATGCAAAATACCTAAACTATCATCTTCTATCACTCAGCCTGCCCACTACAGGAATCAGAGTGAGTATTGGAACTAGAATTTGATCCTTGACATTCTCATATGGAATATAGGCATCCAAAGCCTTGCGTTAACTCACTGCACTGTAACACCTGCCCAGTTTTCCAGAGCTTCTGATGGATGCTTGCAGTTAGATCATGGATCTCTGATGATGCCTCTCTCAGTTAATGTCTGACATTTTAAGTTTTTCTTTGGAAATATTTTCAAACTTAATTGTAAGGATAAATGTAATTCATTGAGCATCTGCATACCCTTTACTCAGAGTGTCATGTGGCCTCATTTGCCACATCATTAACTGCCAACCCCCAGTCATCTGAAAATGAGTTGCATATATTGGGGCCAGTCTCTTGGTGTAGTGCATTTAGCTCCCATCTGTGATAGACATC